TGAGCAAGCCGCAGCGACCTTGGTCGACACAGGCACCTGGAGGGGCGCCCTCACTGGGGGGGACGCAGTGTCAAGCGTAAACAGGCCAGACACAGGGTCCCGGGGGAACGTGGTCAGAGGAGCACCAGTGGCGCCCTCGGTATAGACCGCGGACCGCTCGTGTTCGGGGAACGTAGTGGTGACGCTGAGGTCCTGAGAAGGGGTCAGCAAGCGCGATAGCGGCAGGGGCGGCAAGAGGCGTGAGTGCAGTGTGGTCGCAAAAGAAGCAGGCAGATGCTCCAGAGTTGAGCGTGAAGAAGAGCGAAGCAGTAGCGTCCGCCGGCGGAGGGGCTAGCATGAAGCCTAGGCTAAACAAGGCAGGGGGTCCTACGCCTGACGAAGCAGGGGAACCTAGACTACACACAAGGGACACATCTATGCTAGGCAACACCGGGTAATATGGTCCAGGCACACAAGAGTCATCAGCATACATGGCATACAAAGCAGACCTAATCTGATCCATGTCCATCTCAAAGACAGGCACACGTCGACGCACCAGGCTGTACCAGTCGGGGGGGTCCGCCGTGGGGCCGACGCGAAGACGGAAGAGGTCGTCAAGGCGGCAGTAGCAGCGCGCGGCGGGGTGACCGGGGCGGTCACAGACGTTGCTACGATGGGGCCGGACTAAACCTGGTACTGGCAGGTGACCACACTGGAGCCGCCACCCGACACCGAGCTACGCCCTCCACCACCACCAGCACCGCCAGTCCACTACGGCGGCGGGGGTCCCCACGGCTACTACTGCTGCTGTTGCTGCTGCTCCGGGGCACTAGCCCTGGTCCCCTCCTCTGCACCATTGTCCCCTCCACCACCTCTGCCACCTCTGCCACCCTCGCCACCCTTGCCACCCCTCCCGCCGCCACGCCCCCCCCCCCCCGGGCTTGGCGTCCCCTACCATGACGATACTGTGCTAAGGCGGCCGCAGTGGTCTCAGCAGCAGGGGCCGTCTCAGCAACAGCGGCAAAGACGTCAGAGTAAGTGCACTGGGAGGGAGCACAGCCCTGGAAGATAGGGATCGCCGCAGTACTACTCGACTGAGCGATAGTGCGCTGGCGGGTCTCTATCGCGGTTAGGGTAGTGACGAGGTCCGCAGGCTGGAGGGCAAGGAAGTGGTCGCGGGCAGTGGCTAGGCGGTCAGGAAGGCGCGTGGCAAGGAAGTAGAGGGTAGCGCCGAGCGGGGGAGGCAGTACAAGGAGTTGAGCCTCAGTGCTAGCAGCGCGGTAGCTAGTCTATAGTGCGCGCAAGTGAGTGGCGAGATCAGCGACAGTGGGAAAAACGCAAGGTCAGGGAAGAGTAGGGGGAGGAGGAGACGACTAGCAGAGGCGGAGGATGGAGTAGAATAGCGTGCAATAACATTATCAAAGTACGCCTGCGCAGTCTCTAGGGCCTGGTAGCAGGGGCACTCAGAGAGGGGGAGGGCGCAACTGATAGCAAGCTGCGCAACTGCATTACGTGACTCCCAGATGGAGTGAGCGAGCTCATCAGCTGCAAAGGCCTCATGCTCAGCGGGCGTGGGGGCGTCAGAGAGGGCAGCAGGCGGGTCGGGGCAGGGGATCTTACCATCGACGTGAATGGCCAGAGATTGGCCTTCCTGGTGCTGTCCCCTCAACGAGCGGCGGAGGTCGGCGAGCCACGTCTCAAAGTCAATCGCTCGACCCTCCGCGTCCAGGCGGAGCACAGCGTCCGCCATCGCCACGGATGCAGTAGCTGACCGTCGCTAGGGGAGGAGAAGGAGAGGGCGGTGGAGAGCAGCAGTGGAGACGGCCGGCGGGAGCGCCGACACAGAAGAGGGAACCAAGGCCGGCAGGTCGGGGCAGCACAGCAGCACGGCGGCTCGGCGATTCGGCAACTCGGTGACGCGGCGATTCGGCTACTCGGCGGCTCGGCGAACGACGGCTCGGCTACTCGGCGGCTCGGCGGACGACGGCTCGGCTACTCAGCGGCTCGGCGGCTCGAAAACTCCGGCGGCTCGGTAGCTCAGCGGCGCAGTGGTGCGACGCGGCGCGGCTCAGCGGCTCGGTGGCGCAGCGGCTCGGCGGCGTGGCGCAGCGGCTCGGCAGCTCGGCGCGGTGCAATAGGGCAGGGCCGGCGCGGCGTGACGGGGCCGGTGCGGCGTTACGGGGCCGGCGTGGCGTGACGGGGCCGGCTCGGCGTGACGGGGCCGGCGCGGTCTAGCGGGGCCGGCGCGGCGGGACGGGTCCGGCGCGGCGTGACGGGCCGGCGCGGCGGTACGGGGCCAGCGCGGTGTGACGGGGCCAGCTCGGCGTGACGGGGCGCGGGCTAGGGCACGGTCTAAGGCTAGGGCTAAGGCTAGGGGCAGAAACGTAGGCGAGGAGGGGGACCTAACCTAGCGTGATACCATGTTAGAATAACACAATGAATTAGATTGTGTCATACAGGGAGGTTTTGTGCTATGGTGCCGTATCCTGTATGAGCATGCACCTATCTAGGCTATAACATATACAAATATATGTTGACAGGGAGGTGATGTCCGCTTACACTGTAATGTCTGTGGTGAATCTGCTACAGATTTTCGTGAGGCTGGATGTGTGTGGCTGGATTTTTAAAATCAGGATTAATCTGCACGCTCTAGTGCCCATGCACTCGTGTATGCGCGGGGAGGTCGGGCCGTGGTTTAATGTTGGCGACTCACGTTTTGTCGTCGCGAGCGCTCCCGATGCAATTTTTGAATTTCACTGGTTTTCGCCAGCAATTTGTTACGCGGGAGAGATTTATGTTCGAAAGGTGCTTGCTTAAAGTGAGAGGTCAAAATAGTGAAGGCGGGTCCAATTTGAAAAGGCCCAGACGTCCGTTTTTGCGACTAAGGGACAAAACTGCGATGGGGCAGAGGGTACACTGTCGAGAAATGCAAGCAGAAGAAACTGGGCGAGAAGATGCAGTTACCTGATTGGTTGGTGGAGAAAACATGTTGTACGGTGGGGAAATTGGTCTGGGCAAAATCGCAAACAGCGCGCCACCTGTCGCCCAGCCCCCACTGCTTGTATTTGCACCAAGTGGGTCCAACTTGAATTTCAAGTTGGACTCGGGTTCACTACTCCAGCAAAACTGAGGCTGGGCCCCGATTGGTCGAAATGCTAACCACGCAAATCTATGGTCGTAAAATTTGTCGCCAGTGCGAAATGTCGCAAGCGCAATTCAATTTCGTGGCCTACAGCTTGGTAAAAAACGGGGGCTGCTGCCTGCCCCTCCAAAAACATATTCACTGTTGGGTCGTTTCTAATTGGGCCCAACTAGAAAGGCGGGTCACTATTATAGTCTCTCGCTTTAACTATTCAAACGGCTCCATTCGTACGGTATGTATACTCCATTTTCCCCATTTTGTGCGACCATTTTTTGCGAATTCGCGAGCTGGTTCGCGAGATTTGAGAATTTCTTAACCAGCCTTTTTTCGAATTTGACGAAAGTTCGGATACGCATGTTACGCGCCCTAATGACACTACGGCCTTGATTGGTAAGTCGTGATTCCAGAGTAGGGAATATGGAATCCGCTGCGAGCTTTCCGTATTCCGTGCGTTGACTCGCCAGTTTAGGTAGTGCGAGAAGTTGGGCTGGTTTATATGCGAAATTGCGTAATGTAACTGACGCGTCTGAGCTGGCAAATGTCCAAACCTGCCCGCCACGATCTGGGTCACGAAAAACAAAAGGGATTCTTGCATTTTTTTAAAAAAAAATTTGTCTAGGGCCCTGCATCTGGCTTGATATCGAAATGGGACCCTGAATTTGTTTTCTTGGCGGTCAGACGCAGTCTGGTAGTGGGTATTCGACGTCTCCCGTTTCCGAAATAAGGGCATTCGTTATTGCGTATGGATTGCCCCACTCTTCACTATTCCCAGCTATTCCTGCAAAAAAAGATGGAATGCACATCGACCAGCTGTTGGCACGATTTTGCCCGAGTCAACAGCTAGGTGCCCTTTCCTCATGCTGGATTCCAGCCTTCCTTATTCTGGTGATCGGTACGCACCTCTATTCCAGGAGGTTTGGTGTGATTAAAAAGATTGGTTGGCTTTAAGCCTATTCCGAACCAGCCCTGAGAAATTGCCCGACACCATCCTCATTCCAGAATACGGCCAACCGATCAGGGCCTACCAGTCCGGAGTCTTTGCTTCCGAGAAGCGCCGATGTAGAATCCTCGTTTGTTCGTTCCATTCCAGGTGAATGGGTGGGCAACACGGGCTCCATCCAGGGCCCCAGCTCGATACTGGGACCCAGTTTCAACAGAAATTGGGGTAAGTAGCTGCTGGATGGGTACTATTAAAACATTTCGCATCGCAGTCTGATTTAGAGCTACCTCATGTGACTTTCGGCGTTTTCTCATCTTAGTCATGTGAAGTATTGGTCTGTCTCATGTCTCCTGGCAAAAATTCGCGCCACGTGTCCATTGCTGAAGCCCAAACAGAAATTTCGATTCACGACAGAAATATACTGTCTTTTCCTGCCCACCAGTTCACTGCACTGAGTGGCGCGCGAGATCCACCTCTTCACTGTTGCACATTCGCCCAACCCACCAAACCCGTTGCGGAACACTGCCCAACCCAACCTGGGGTCACGCAACTCTCGCCTCCAGATGCCCCACTAAACAGAATACACTTTCTGGTACAACAGGTTAAAACAACGAACGTTATGATCGTTTACATGTATTAATGTAAATGTTCTCAAGGCGTATTCATAGCTCTAAAAAATACGATCAGCTGAACTTAGGCACCACTTTCTCGTAATCCTCGCGATCTAGAACGAAAGCCCACGAGACAAGAAAAAATAGAGAGCTGTCGCACAGCAAAATTTCCAGCCAGGGTATCTGGTAATCTTGTTTCCCCGATCAGCCCACCAGCCGAGTGTCGCAATGTTTGTATTTGTCCTCGCTCTCGTCGCAAACCACGTTTTTCGCGCCTCTCCTTTGTAGCCTGTCGTTAATCTGTTCCGTGGGCTAGGCTTGAGCCTTTCGGGACGAGGTTCAATTTCAACAAATGAGCTGGCGAGTCGAGCCTCGGCCAAAACAAGCCAATTATAGCAGCACGCCCTAATACGCATATACCCCTCTCGCAGAAGGCTGTAGCACGCACCCCGTTCCTCACCCCCGACCATCACTTCTTCCCAATCCATCATCCTCCCGAGGCTTCAGGGTCTCAGAATTCCAGTTTAGGGTTCCACAGCCAAGCTTGCATGCAAAACGGCTACTACTACGGCACTACTACTATGCGGCGCTAGCCAGCGGGCCTCGAGAAAAGGTACGCGGCTTTTGGGTCACCTTTCTTTTCCTTTATATATGAGCTTAGGTTGTAGGATGATGTTCGATGACATGCTAATGGCTTGCGATGATGCTGTGGGCAATGCGCCTGACGAGCTGCCTGGCGCATTCCGCCGGGGGTAAGTGCGCGGTGCCACACGTGTGGCGGAATGCCTGGCGGAATGGCGCAGCATTAGAGGTCGGGATGCGGGGGGTTACTTGGGGATTTGAGAGTGGTAGAGGGAGGTCGGAATGGATAATTGTCCCTCCTGCCCTGCCTAACTCTCTCCCGTCTGCCCCGCCTATCCCGCACCCCCATCCCCTACCTAGCTACCTCCCTTTCCGCCCCGCCACTCCGCGTGATGCTGCCGCCTCGTCGCCGCGCTCGCCCCCAGTTTGCCGACCGCCACGCGGACCGCCACTCCGACCGCCATGCCCTGCTGCGCTTGCGCCGCTGCCCTTGCGCGGTCGCCCTCTCGCTCCTCGCGCTCTCCATCTCCGCCCTCCTGCTGCTCTACTCCCCCGCGCCTCTCTCCTCCCCGCGCCTCCCCGCGCGCAACCACTCCGCCCTCGCCAGTACATCCCCCCTCGCTGCGCGCGTTGCCGCAGGCGGGGCGGTGAGCTGGGCGCGGCGGGCATGGCGGGGGCAAGCGGGGGGAGCTGCAGAAGGGGAGGACGGGGAGGGGGAGGCGTCGGGGGGAGGGCAGGCGGGGATGGCGCGGCGGAGGCAGCTGTGGGCGCGGGGCCGCCCGTTTCAAGGCGCGGGGGGGCGGTTGTGGCCGGGGAGGGTGTGGCGGGATGAGGAGAGACGGAGAATCCAGGCGCACGGGGGGGGCGTGCTGTACGTGGCGGGGGAACGGCGGTACTACTGGTATGGGGAGAACAAGGAGGGCGAGACATACGCAGTCAAGGGGTCGCTGGAACGGGTGAGTCTAGAGTCGACTCAAAAGTCACCTCGTGCTGTATGTGGCGGGTGAGCGGCGGTACATGGCACTGTATGCATGCATGCATGCGCATGGCACTCTCACCTGCAGCATGCATGGCACTGTTGCACACGGCACAGCGTGGCATGATAGCACACAAAGCCCGGACATCTCCCCCGCCTACGGTTGTTGCAGAGCAGGTGGACGTGGTGGGCATCAGCTGCTACTCTTCCTCCGACCTTCTGCACTGGCCGAACCACGGGGTCGTGCTCTTGTGCCCTCCCTCCCACTCTCCCCCCATACCTCTACCCCTGTCTCTCTCCCCCCCCCACCCTCCCCTTACGGTTGTTGCAGAGCAGGTGGACGTGGTGGGCATCAGCTGCTACTCCTCCTCCGACCTCCTGCACTGGACGCCCCACGGGGTGGTGCTGGCGCCCAACACGCGCGACCCCTCCAGCGACCTGCACGTGAGCCGAGTCATGGAGCGCCCCAAGGTGCTGTTCAACGCGGCCTCGCGCCGCTACGTCATGTGGCTGCATGTGGACGACGCCGCTTATGACCTCGCCAGCACTGGCGTCGCCATCAGCGACCAACCACAAGGGCCCTTTAGGGTAAACACTCGTGCCATGGCTGGCCTGCTCGCCCCAAGGTGTCGTTCCATGCACTTTCGCGCTGCTACGCCTTGTGGCTGCATGTGGACGATGCCGCCTAGCAGCTTGCCTGCACTGGCGTGCTGTCAGCTCAAATTCACAAGGTCCCTTCACAGTAAGCTCTTGCCCTTTTCACGGTTAGCTCTTGGCCTGATCGCCCCAAGGTGCTGTTCCACGCACCCTTGCGCCGCTACGCCATGTGGATGACGCGTCTTACCGCCTTGCCAGCATTGGCGTCACCATCAGCAACCAACCAACCACAAGGGCCATTCATGGTAGACTCTTGTCTTGCTATTTTCACCGCTCGACGGCTCAAATCTCCTTCTCCCTCCTGTATTTCCATCGCTCTCTCTGCTGAAGCTCTTCCCTTAAAGTCGACTAAAATTTCCCCATCATGCAGATTTGGTGTGCATGTGCGCCGGTGCGCCTGTGCGCATGTGTGCACGTGTGCCTGTGCACTTGTGCGCCAGTGCGCCTGTCCGTTGCCCCCAACGTGTGTGAGCTTTCAATACGTGGGTCGGTTGCGCCCCAACGGGCATGAAAGCCGCGACATGATGGTGATTCAGGACGAGGATGGGAGCGCCTACATGGTGTATGCCAGAGGTGATGCTTGTGAGATGAACGCATGCACTCTTTGGACTCTGTGTGCCCCCTCGTGTGCCCCCCTGTGTGTCCCCGCGTGTGCCCCCCTGTATGCCCCCTCGTGTGCCCCCCTGTGTGCCCCCTCGTGTGCCCCCCTGTGTGCCTCCTCGTGTGCCCCCCTGTGTGCTCCCTCGTGTGCCCCCCTGTGTTCCCCCCTGTGCCCGTCCCGCTGTGTGTGCCCCCCTGTGCGCCCACCTGTGTGCTCCTCCCCCCCCCACAGTACATGGGCCGGTTCCGCCCTAATGGGCAGGAAAGCCGCGACATGACGGTGTTTCAGGACGATGACGGCACGGCGTACGTGGTGTATGCAAGTGAGATGAACGCCGTGCTGCACATCGCACGCCTCACCCCGGACTATCTCGACGTCGATGGTGGCTTCGTGCGCCGCTTCGTGGGGCGGTCCAGAGAAGCACCTGCTGTCTTCAAATACCAACAAGTGAGCACTCACGAGTTTTTTGTGGCACGGCTTTCAGTGGCAAAGCTTCCAGTGGCACAGCTTCCAGTGGCAAAGCTTCCAGTGGCACAGCTTCCAGTGGCACAGCTTCCAGTGGCACAGCTTCCAGTGGCACAGCTTCCAGTGGCACGGCTTCCAGTGGCACAGCTTCCAGTGGCACAGCTTCCAGTGGCACAGCTTCCAGTGGCACAGCTTCCAGTGGCAAAGCTTCCAGTGGCACAGCTTCCAGTGGCACAGCTTCCAGTGGCACAGCTTCCAGTGGCACAGCTTCCAGTGGCACGGCTTTCAGTGGCACGGCTTCCAGTGGCACGCCTTTTGTGCAGCCCGTCGCCCTTCATATTGCATGGCATGGCACGGCATGGCATGGCTCTAAGCAAATGTCCCTGCCGCTTCTCCTGCTTATCCTGCCCTCGTCCTTTCCCTCTTCTCCCACTGCAGCATTATTTCCAGGTGATGTCAACATGAACAGTTGTGTTTTGAGGCGCTTCAAAACTGCTCCTGCTACCCCCTCACCCACCCACCTCCCCTCATGCCTTCCCTCTTTCTCTCCTCCTGCAGCATGACTTCCAGGTGACGTCAGCATGCACTATAAGGGACGTGTCGCTTCAGAACTGCTCCTGCTCCCCCCCTCCCCCCTGCCCCCCCCCTTGCCTTCCCACTTTCTCTCCTCCTGCAGCATTAATTCCTGGTGATGTCAGCATGCACTGATTTGTTTTGAGGCGCTTCATAACTGCTCTTACTCAACACCCCCCCCCCTCCCCCTTCCCCCCCTCTTCCCCCACCTCACCTCATGCCTTCCCTCTTCTCTCCTGCCTGCTGCAGCATTACTTCCTGGTGACGTGAGCTTGCGGAGTTGTTTTGAGGCACCTCGATTCCGCTCCTGCTCCTCCCCACTCCTCCCCCGACCTCCCCTTGTGCCTTCCTTCGTCTCTCCTGCCTGCTGCAGCATTACTTCCTGTTGACGTCAGCATGCACAGGGTGGGACCCAAACGAGGCTGAGGTGCATGTGGCGTCTCACATGATGGCCGACTGGCGGCTGCTGGGCACCCCATGCTCCCACAACCACCAGCAGCTCCAGCATCAGCAGCAGCAGCAGCAGGAGTGGGCGTGGCACGGGCAGTCCATGCGTGCTCGCAGTGGTGCATCACGCCCCCCCCCCTCGTGTAGAACCACCTTTGAGTCACAAGGCACGTTTGTGCTAGCTCTGCCCAACGCCCCGCCCGGTGTATTTGTGTTCCTAGCAGACCGGTGGAACAAGCATGACTTAGCGGACTCACGCTATGTCTGGCTGCCCCTGCACCTGGTCGGCAATGCGAGTGGCCCTACTCCTAGGGTTTGGTGGGGGGAGCACAGGGACGGAGTGGTGGGTTTGCAACAAGGTGCGGTGGAGAGCGGTGCTGTGGCACGTGCGGTGATTACATGGCACGAGAGCTGGGAACTGCCACAGGCGTGGTTGCATAAAGCAGAGACTGCTGCTACCAACTCAGCGTAACTTAAGACAAAAGAGAGTACACCTGCCTCACTGTCACAACAGTAGTACCGGTACATGTGTACCGTATGCTATGCTGTCAAGGCTCCAGCAAGGAATCTCCATGTGAGAAATCCACAACAGTACCAACTACCCCTTGGTAATGTGTGTAACAGTGACACTATAATCTTGTACTGTACATGTAGACAGTTGGCTTTCCTCCACATCTAAGTCAACACGGGCAAGCAGGGGTGGCAAGCAGGGCTGACGTTTAAAAAAAAAAACCACCCTGAGCTGTCAACTAAAAAACCAAATTACCCTGACGGCTCTGTTTTCAAAAATTGCCTACCCTGATCTGTTAGTGTTCAGAAACCCGAAACCCTGAAATTCTCAGGGTTCACAGAACGCGATCAGGGTCGAATTCAGCAACCGCCGTAAGCATACCTGCCGCATCCTCTCCTTTCGTAGAGAGGGTCTTCGCTACGTTTTTCTTAAAACCACAGGCTAAAATAGCATAGGGGGGGCTTCAAGAGCAGGGCTGACTTTATCAGACTATTTACCCTGATTAGTCTGAAATCTCAGACCTGTTTTTTGGCCAAACCTGAATTTCCAGATAAGGCATTTTCCCAATCCTGATCCCTTCAGAGTACGATTCTAGGGATCCTGAGAAAATCAGAGTTGTCGCCAACCCAGTACTGAGTTTTCATAGCACAGCGCGTACAGACCCTGACTCATTACCTGTATAGTGTCAACTTATACATATTATCTATGTAGAAGTTATAGGCTAGACTGAGGAATGCTTCTAGTGAGTACAACCAACTAGTATTTGTTCTAGGTTTCCACCTCTAGTAATCATTCGTTTCTACGTTAACATGGTATCACGCTTAGGTTAGGATCCCCCCGCCTACCGCTTCCGCCCGTCGCGCCTCCTAGGCCCCGTCGCGCCCCCTAGGCCCCGTCGCGCCCCCCCTGGGCCCCGTCGCGCTCGTTAGGCCCCGTCGCGCCCCCCCTGGGCCCCGTCGTGCCCGCTGGGCCCCGTCGCGCCTCCTAGGCCCCGTCGCGCTCCCCCTGGGCCCCGTCGCGCCCACTGGGTCCCGTCGCGACCCCTAGGCCCTAACGCGCCCCCGCTGGGCCCCGTTGCGCCTCCTAGGCCCCGTCGCGCCCCCCATGGGCCCCGTCGAGCCCGCTGAGCCCCGTCGTGCCTCCTAGGCATCGTCGCGCCTCCTAAGCCCCGTCGCGTCCCCCCCCTCTGGGCCCCGTCGCGCTCGTTCGGCCCCGTCGCGCCCCTCCTAGGCCCCGTCGTGCCCGCTGGGCCCCTTCGCGCTTCCTAGGCCCCGTCGCGCCTGCTAGGCCCCGTCGCGCCCCCCCTGGGCCCCGTCGCGCCCGTTAGGCCCCGTCGCGGCCCCCCTGGGCCCCGTCGTGCCCGCTGGTCCCCGTCGCGCCTCCTCGGCCCCGTCGCGCCCCCCCTGGGCCCCGTCGTGCCCGCTGGGCCCCGTCGCGCCCCTTAGGCCCCGTCGCGCCCGCTGGCCCCTGTCGCGCCTGCTGTTAGCGCTCGCCCGCCTGGCCTCCTCCTAGTGCCGCTCGGCCTCCTCCTAGTGCCGCCCGGCCTCCTCCTAGTGCCGCCCGGCCTCCTCCTAGTGCCGCCCGGCCCCTTCCTAGCGCCGCCCGGCCTCTCCTCAGCGCTGCCCGGCCCCTCCTCGTGCCCGACCGGCCCTAGCAGCACCAGCCTGGCCCCTCCCAGCACCAGCCCGGCCCTAGAGCACCTGCCCGCCTCCCCTGCTCGGCCTGCCGTGTCCTCTCGGGCCCTGTGTCTTCTGCTTGCCTGCGCTGGGACGCCTAGCTGCTGCCCTACTGGAGAGTGCTGCCGCCGTGTCCCCGCGCCGCTGTGCTCCTGTGCCGCTGAGGAGCTGTGCTGCTGTGCCGCTGTGTCGCTGAGGAGCTGTGCCGCTGACCCTGCACGATGGCTGACTTTGTGCTCCGCCTGGACGCTGAGGGCCACGCGGTTGACTTCGCCGCCTGGCTCTCCGATCTTCGCCGCCAGCTTACAGGTCAGCGCCAGGATGGCCACTCTCTGGTTGTCCATGCTGATGGCTTGCTCCCCCGTCCCCCTGCACCTACTCCCCTCCCTGCTGACCCCTCCTCTAATGACCGTGAGGCTTTCTCTACTGCTGCGCTAGCCTGTGCGGTCTGGGACTCACGCGATGCAGTAGCTCAGGTTGCTATTAGTCACGCCCTCCCTGTGTCTGAGCGCTCGCGTTTTGCTACTGTTGAAACGGCCAAAGCTTATTTAGAAGCCGTTATTGCTCGCTATTCCACCCCTGCCTCCGCTTCTGCTGGCCGCTTGCTCTTTCCGATGCTGTTCCCAGACCTGGCTGCCTTCCCTACTGTCGCAGATTTTGCCACTCATTTGCGTGCCCTAGAGACTCGCTATCGCACTGCCAGCACTGCTGCCCAGCTCACTGCGCTCCCCCCTCCTTTCTGCATGACGCTCTATTTTATCGCTATGCGCCTGCCAGACCGCCTCGCTAGTGCTCGCGACCACTTTCTTAGCCAGCACCCGGGTGACCTCACCCTGACCGCCTTTGTCGACACCCTCACTGAGATCGAGACTCGCCAGCGCACTATCGCTCAGTCGAGCGGTGCGCCGGCAGTCTCTATCTTTCACGGTTGTGCCCCATCCCCGTGCACGTTCACTGACGTTTCGGCTGCGGTCGCCACGGCGACCCCTCTTACCGAGACGGCTGCTGCTGTCCACCCGCAGCAGCGCTCGCGTCGCGGTGGCCGTGGCCGCCAGGGAGGTAGGGGTGGTGACGCAGGTGGTAGTGGTCGTGGTGGTGGTGACGGTAGTCCGCCTGAGGGGACTACCACCGGTGGGCAGGAGCAGCAGTCCCAGCAGCAGCAGGACCAGCCCCAGCCGCAGCCGCCGTCCCAGCAGCACCCGCCGCAGCCGTGGGCTCGTCTCCCGCCTGGTTGGCCCGGCACCTCCGGAGGCGGTGGCCGTGGTGGCGGCCCGCGCAGCTTGGCGTCTACCAGCGGCTCCAGTGCTGTGACCTGCCAGTACCAGCTTCAGACCGGGCCTCTCCGCGGCACTCTGTGCCGCCGCCCGCACCCGACCGCCCACTGTTTCCGCCGCCTCGACGATCTTTTTCGTCGTCGCTTTGGCCCGGCCCCGGACCTCCCTGACTGGCACAGCCTGCTCCGCCAGGGCGTGCCGATCTTTGAGTTAGACATGGATCAGATAGGTGCTGCTTTGCATGCTTTGTATGCTGACGCTTCTAGTGTTGATGGATCTTACTACCATGTGTACTCTAGTTTAGGTGTTTCACCCTTGTGTAGCTTAGCTTCCCCTGCTGCGACAGGCGTAGGACTGCCTAGGTTGCCTAGTCTAGTCGCTGCACCGGCTCCGTCCGCGGCCTCCGCCACTGCGTCGCTGTCCTTCACTCTCGACTCTGGTGCTTCTGCCTGCTTCTTCCGCGACCGTTCCACGCTCACGCCGCTTGCTGCACCTGCTGTTGTCTCTCTTGCTGACCCCTCTGCGGGTCCGGTCGTCGCGCGCAGTTCTACGTCCCTTCCCTGTCCGGCAGTTCCCTCAGGCTCCCTTACTGGCCTCCACGTTCCCTCGTTCTCCAGGAACCTGGTTGGTGTCGGCTGTCTCCAGGACCTCGGCGTCACCACCACGTTCCCCGGGCACGAGCGGTTCGCTGTCTGTTCTGAGGCTGTCTCAGGTTCCCCCCTTGCGACGTTCCCCCGGGACCCGGTGTCCGGTCTGTTTACCCTACACACCGCTTCCCCCCCGGTTGGTGCGTCCTCCCAGGTCGCTGCAGCTTGCTCGTGTCGGTCCCTCACTCACCCCTCCCTTCTATGGCACCACCGCTTAGGTCACCCTGCTCTCCCGCGTCTGCGTCACATGTCCCAGCACGGTCTTGTCTTAGGTCTCCCCGCGTCGCTCCCTGCCCTTCCTCCCTCGACTGCGCCACCGTGCACGCCTTGCGTCGAGGGTCGGCTCCGCCGTGCTCCTCACTCCTCCTCGCTGCGTCCTGCTACTGCCCCCCCTTCAGACCCTGCACTTGGACGTTTGGGGCCCTGCCCCCGTCCCCGGACCGCGCGGTGAGCGCTACTTCCTTGTGCTCGTTGACGACTACACGCGCTACACCACGGTGTTTCCCCTGGAGCGGAAGGCCGACGTGCCCGACGTTCTTCTCCCGTGGGTTGTAGCTGCGCGTCTCCACCGCGGTCTCCCCGTGTTGTGTCTCCACTCCGACCGTGGCGGCGAGTTCGCCTCTGGTCGGCTTGGACAGTTCTGTCGTGCGGAGGGCATCACCCAGTCGTACACGTTGCCGGACTCGCCACAGCAGAATGGGGTTGCTGAGCGCCGCATCGGCTTGGTCATGGAGGTCGCCCGTACCTCCATGATCCATGCCGATGCCCCCCATTTTCTGTGGCCGTTCGCTGTTCGCTACGCGGCTCACCAGCTTAACCTGTGGCCACGCTCCCAGCGGCCGCAGGTTTCGCCGACCCTCCTTTGGACCGGGTCCCCCGGTGACGCGTCTGCGTTCCACGTCTGGGGCTGCCTTGCTCACGTTCGTGCCTCTGGCACGGACAAGCTCACTGCCCGCACTGTCCCCTGTGTCTTCCTCGGTTTCCCCCTGGACTCGTCTGACTGGCTTTTCTACCACCCGCCGTCTCACCGCTTCCTCCACTCTCGTGACGTCACCTTTGATGAGTCCGTCTCCTTCTACCGCCGCTTCCCTCACCGAGGTCTCCCAGTTGCCCCCCCCCTTTTCCTTGCTCCCTCTCCCCCGGTAGCCCCTGCCCCTCTCCCGCCTCGTCCTGCCCCGTCTGGTGTCTCCCACGTCACTCCCCTCCCGTCGGTTGTCCCCGTTGAGGAGTCTGCTGACTCTGGTGGTACCCCCGGTCCGTCCTTGCCGCGTCCCCCTTCCCCGGTGCCTCCGCCCCCACTGTCGCAGTCGCCGACCCCGCTGCCGCCGCCGTCGCCGTCGCCGCCGCAGCCGTCGCCGCTGTCGTCGCCGCCGCCGCCGCTGTCGCTGCCGCAGCCGTCGCCGCTGTCGCCGCCGCCGCAGCCGTTGCCGCCACTGCCGCCGCTGCTCTCGGCCCCTGGGGGTGCTGGTGTGGAGGAGGGTGTTCGTCCTGCGGCTTCTGGGGGTGCCGCTGGTGTTGGAGGGGGTTCTCGCTCTGGGGGTGTTGGTT